TATTTTATTTCTCCATTTGTGTGGGTCAGGTATTAGAATATGGAAGTTTAAAGGACAAAGTTCTTCCTGCTCATACTTTTTGATGTATGGGATGATACTCCAACCGAGCTACCCTGCCAGGGCAATGCTTAACTTTAATGAGGATAAAATTATGGCAGAGCCCAGCCAGCGTAGCTCAGTGGTTGAGCGTTGATCTGTGAACCAGGAGGTCTCCGTTTGACATGTCATTAGCTAACATTTTATTTTTTATTTTTATTTTTTATTGATTTTTTACAGAGAGGAAGAGAGAGGGATAGAGTTAGAAACATCGATGAGAGAGAAACATCGATTAGCTGCCTCCTGCACACTCCCTATTGGGGATGTGCCCGCAACCAAGGTACATGCCCTTGACCGGAATCGAACCTGGGACCCTTGGGTCCGCAGGCTGACGCTCTATCCACTGAGCCAAACCAGTCAGGGCCATGAGCTAACATTTTAAATTTTAACATTTTAAATTATGCTTTGTTTGTGATGCCTATTGATATGCCAAGCTTATAATTTAAATCAGCCAAAAAAACTTAGGCTCAGAGGTATTGTAATTGTTTTGAAGTCATGTAGTTAGTGGCAGTTAGGCTGGGATTTGAATCCAGCCTCTCGACTGTACCTTCCAAGCAGTCACATCCCAGGGATTTCCCAAAGTGAAATGAAGGCTTCCGGGAGAACTCCGTACAAGTCGTTCACCTGAGCGCCTGTGGGAATTGGGAGCAAATGTTGGAGCCAACGGAATGTAGAAATGAATGGGTGTCACACACCAAACCTGGACCTGGCCACTGGAATTGCTCGTTTGCAAGCATTTGTGAGCTAAGCTTCAAGTCATTGTTTGTTCTCGCTGAGTTTAGTATGTGTCTTGCAGATGCAGTGTGGGAAGTAAAACTAGATATAACATCGATCATCCCGGGCAATCATGATGAATTTATAGTTAACAAGATATCTTGTTGTCAATATTATATCATTGTGCCATTCAAAAATGGCAATTTTGATGAAACAGTATTTTATTTGGAAGTTTAAAAACCCTCAGGAAAGCTTAAATACATTTTTAACTTTTGATTTTTAAAACTTTGTTTTAGGTATTTCCTTAAACCCTGAGCAATGGAGCCAGCTGAAGGAACAGATTTCTGACATTGACGATGCAGTGAGAAAACTGTAAAATCTGAGCCATATAAACCTGTACTGTCCTAGTTGTTTTAACCTGTCTTTTTACATTGGCTTTGTTTTTTAAATGTTGTTTTCCAGGCTGTTGTATATTTGGATTGCAGAACAATTTGTAAGAATACTTTTTTTTTTTTTTTTATGTTTTTAAAAATATT